AAAATAAATTCAAAAATAAAAATAAAAGGGATTTAAATATTATTTTATAATTAATTTTAAAGTTGTTAAAAGGTAACGCAACAAACAGGAATTCTAATTTTGCAATTATCTGAAAAAAGTGGTGCGGCACAAAATTAGGGTTTCAATTGAAGTCAACATAAAAAAAATAATATTTAAGAAATGTAAAAATTGAGAAGCCTGTGTAAGAGTCTTTTTTTTTCCGAATTACTTCTACTATTCTAGTTTTCATAGAAGAAAATAGTTTTTAACAAAGTTAGGTATATGTTTTATATTATTGTAATCTCGTCTTTTATCACACGAGGACATAGTTTCTTCTTTCCGCATCCTTTTTTACCATTATTGTCTTTCAATTTTAAGAACTTACTGACTAGAGTCTTTGATCTTGAACTACCTATCATTATCATCGCGCTAGCACGAATATTTATTGAAGAAAAAGCTTCTATCGGTTCTTTTCATGATCAGTTAATCTCTTTACCTTTGCAACCAAAACTTCTAAAAAACGCAATAAAAAGTACATAGCAAGAATTCATGGCAAATTTGCAAATAGAAGTGTTTTTCAATCGTCGTAGTAGCAAATAGTAATTTTTAATTATATTTATTTCTAAAAATTACTGGTAGCCTTTAAGTTTTTACTCAGGCTAAAATGCTAATTTTGATCTTAACAATTTTTTCTACATAATTGCAAATCTTGTTTGTAGCGTTATTTCTTAATAATATACTTTAAGAGTTAAATAAAAGGGATTTAAATTGTATTTTTCGATTTCTCAAACGTTTGCTCTAGTCTGAAAATTTTTACTCAGACAGTACTTTATGTTGTATTTCATTATAGATTGTTTGATTTGTAATTTTCTGCGCATTTAATAGTATTTTTTCACAGAATTGTGCACATGATGCTCCGTAAAGACAACTCCTTCGATAAATTTCTAGAATTCTTGTCACAAATGAAGTTATAAAAAAAAAAAAAGGATCACAAATTGATATTTCAGGGGGAAAAAAAGAAAATCAAAACATGACCAAAAAGTGTGACCATGAGTTGCCGAAAAAACATAGAGGAATTGAAAGACACTTATTTGAGACACTTCAAACTTATTTCGGCAATCAAACTGGTTTGAAAGTTTCAATTCCGTTTATCTTAATAGTGATTTTTACGATTTTCTTATCGTTTTTTCCCGCTTTTAAATGGTAGTTTGCTATTCCTAATTTGTATAGTTTTTTAAACTTAATTCTTAAAGATGATGCTAAAATTATATATGAGGAAGTAGATTACGGACCACTCTGCATCATAGAATCAAGATGTTTCTTGATTCTATGATGCAGTGGTTATTCATTCATTAGAGTTGTATTCTTATTATATATAATAAGGGCAAGGGTGATATTTTTCTTTTTTTCTCAAGAAACGTGAAAATAACAGTCTTAAGTATGGTCCCCCCCCCCCCAATAAATTTTATCTGACAACGCCAATGAGTTGGGAAATACATTGAATTCAGTGAAGCAAATCAAATCCGGCTATAATATTTTCAAACTTATTAAAACTTTTGTATTTGAATATGGAGAAGAAAAGCTATGCAATTGATTCTTTGGAACACTTGTGTAAAGAGAGTTTAGAACATGTTCGAAACAACACTATCAACAACAAACCTTACCCTTAAAAACTTTAAAATTGTGTTATCAAAGTATTCTTTTTTTTTTGTAAAAAATAATTTTTAAAAAAATGCCAGTAACAAGTTTTTTTTTTAATTCCTGATTTTATCTTGTGTATTAGATTATTATTTTATTGATTCACATTATGCTATTGCAATGATTGTATTATTATATTAGTTCTCAAAAGTGTTATTGAAAATGGCATAGGATTTCAGGCTGAGACAACATTTAGATGAACTTTATTATGTGCATGTTTTGTAGAAAATCGTACTGAATTGATTGTGTTTAGTAGTTCAGATTAAAATGAAATCAGGGTTAAAATGAATTGTTTTTCTTTTTTGCATTAACTAATTATTTTTAATATTTTTTCTAATACAATTTACACTACAAGAAAGGTATTTAGTTGGATTTAGAAGCAAATAAATAATACAACTAGTAATGAAAAAAAATTTATTATAATTTTTAGTAAAAAAAGTCTCAGAAATATCGCTAACGGAGAAATAAAAGTGCTACTTTCAAAACAATTTGCAAAATGTTGGCCAGTTTTAAAAGAAAAATTAAAATTCAGTGCAAAAATTTGTTTCAATTCGTAAAAAAAAAAAATTATTTTTTTTTGCAATTTGTTTCGTTTTACTGACATATTTAAAGCACTGGAGACATTCTAACAGTTCAAAAATACTTTTATAGAACTGACTAACTATTTTTCCATTTGAATTTGAAAACATCTTTAAATTTGATCTTTAAAATTGGTTGTTATAACAATAGGATGATTCAAAAACTTTCAGATAAGTTAAAATTGATTTACAATTGAGATTTGATTCCAAAATTCAAGTTTTTCCACTTTGAGGAAAAAAGAAGGAATGTTATACCAAAATTTTTGATTGAGTTATCAAAAATCAGAATGATAGACTATCACATTTTTGACCTTTGACTATACATTTAATTCTCATATTTTGATTGATTTTTAAAAGCCTCAAATTTTGATTTAATAAACTTTGTATGAGTTATTTCAATTTCTTAAGCGTTTTATAATTAAATTTATTCTATTTTAAGACTGCACTTTGACTAATAAAACAATTAAATAAATTATTCACTAGAAATGCACAAACAAATTGTTTGCTATTTATTTTCAAAATTAATTAGGATATTGTGCTATTTTATTGGTGGTATATTAAAATGTCACAATTGGACCTATAATAATAATTTAAATGCAGTATGTTTATAAACTGAATAATTTTTATTTGTCAGGGGTTCATTTTTCAAATTATTAAGTTTTTTAACATATCAGAAAAGAACTTTTACTAAAATGACGAGTAATTTAAAATATATTTATTATTGTAACAATTTATTCTAAAACTCATTATAGCTTTTTTGTAGTACTTAAAATAGTACAAATTTAAAAATAATTATAAAATTCAATACAAATATATATTTTTTTTTTAATCTAAATAAGTTTTTTTTGACAAAATATTCTTTATCTAATATAATTTAATTAGAATTTTGACCATAACAAAATTCTGATGACTACAATTGCTTAAATTAAAGTTTTAAAACCTATATAGTACGGTAAGTATAGCTTAAAAAATTAATAAAAATATTTTAAAATCTAAATATCGAGAAGAAAAAAAGTTACAACCAGTAGCAAACTGTTAAGTACCCACCTCATCTTGCACATCAGGTTTTGACAGGAGGAAATAAATTGAGAAGAAACTTACAAGCTACTGTTTAGACATATATAAATAAGGCATTATTTATTTCGTTTATTATGCTGGATTTAATTAGACCAATCAGAAGACAATAGGACTAATAATTTAGAAATCAAAAAATATTTATTTGAGGAAAAGAAAATTTCACTCTTTAAATTTTTGTTCAGCACAATACTTATTTCAAAAAAATAATGAATTCTGAAAGATTTTTTTTTTCAAAAACTATCTTTAATAACTGTATAAGAGATATAAAATGCTTTTATTATAGAATTTTTATGTTATATTTCATTGTTTAAAAAATCTTATGTTATATTTCATTGTTTAAAAAATCTCATATTGTATTTAGTATGTGAATGAAGTAGTTATTGGTGCACCTTATGCTGTTTCTACAGACTTAATGGAGCATTTTAAGGTAACTATTATTTCACTTTTGTTTAATAATTTTTCTAATTTATAATTTTAAATGTCAGTCACATTTCATTTTAAATTTAATAAATTGCACCAAATCTTGAATAGACAAATGCATATTTTAAAAAAATTTATTGGCTAAAAAATTTGATTCATTAAAAATATAGATTTCACAGTTTATATTGTACTTGTTAGTGTTTTTGTGCCATATGCATTACTTATTTCATAGCTTTTTTAGTATCAGTTGACTCTTAAATATATATTTAATTCTCTATTTCTTTTTTCAACCAATATGTTTAAAAGAATTTCAAAATTACACTTGTAGTATTCTCAGTTTAGATTGTAAGTACTACTTAAATGTAATAATATAAAATATGTAAATACTACTGTACTGTATTGTTGTGCTATGTGCATTACATATTTAATAGTTTTTTAATAACATTTTACTCCTAAATGTATATTTAATCCCCAAATCTTTTTCTTGACCAGTATAGTCATTAAAAATTTTCTCCAAATTATTCTTGTAGAACTCTCAGTTTATATTGTAAATACTTGTGTATTGTTGTGCCTTACACATTACATATTTCGTAACTTCTTAATATCATTTGACTGTTAAATGTATGTTTAATCCTCTTATCATTTTCTCAATTAATAGATATATTAAAATTTTTTCTCAGAATTACACTTCTAGATTTCTTAGTTTAGATTGTAAATACTACTTACTATGCATAAATCATTTAAAATTAGCCACTATTTTTGGTTGATCTTTCGATAAATTAGCCAATAAATTGATTTTAGATAAATTTGCCAAATAATGGATTACTGTTTAAGATCAGTATCAATTATTTCACCCACATTTGTTAAATTTTTACTACCCCCCTGTTTATTGCAATATTTTACAATTGCTTTTTCAGTTCTTATTTGCATGTATAATGCATCTTAGTTTATTATTAGGTTGATTTAGTTTGTCATGGCCAAACTCCAGTAATGTCTGATGTAAATGGAGGTGATCCATATGAGGTGAGTATGCAAGTTTAAATATAGAATCTGTGAAAGTAGAATACAGTAAATTCATTCAAAGAAATTTTTTTTTCAGGCCCCCAAACAGTTAGGCAAGTTCAAACAACTGGACAGTGTCAATGATATGACTACTCAAAAAATAGTAGAAAGAATTATTTTGCAAAGGTAATCTGACTATTCATTTTATAGTCATAGGTTTATTTAATGTGAAGTATTCCAGGAACAAAAAAATTCTTCAGAATGGAAAGAGATTAACTTGTATTGTTTCAAAATAGATTTATGATTAGCTTTGGTTCCCATAGAAGTGAATTTCACAGAAGTTGTGTTTTTAAATTCTTGATGCATAAGAAGTACTGGACAGATTTCCTTCAAATTTTGAATTTTTATGTTGTTCATAATTGTGTAAAAATCTTACAATTCCTTTGGATTCATACTAAAAAAAACCGTTCTTAAACATGATTTCTTTAAATCACCATGCTTTTTCTTATAGATAATGTTTTGGTCCACTCATATTGGCCCTATCTAGACAATAGGGCCCCTAGCTAGGAGTAATTGACCCCTTTATTATCAATTTCACTTTTTGCTCATATCCTGAGAACTTTTTGAGCTAATGAAAGAAAAATTTCACATGGATTTGTTTATCTAAAGATAATTCCTTATAAAAAAAAGAATTTTTTAACAACTATTCATTATTTTATCTAATAATAATTTCAAAAAATGGAATTTTTTAATAGACCTTATTAATTTTTGAATATTTCAACAAAAGCTTTTTGGTGTGACTGAACTATTAAAAAATAGAAACAATAATTTTGTAACATTTATAAATAAATTACTTATGTTTCGTATTTAATGTGATTTATAAATCCATGTGATTTACAATTTGCCATCCTGGCTGTTACATTTTCTACTGGATTCTTAAAAACTCTTTTTTTTTCTTCCCTCAAACATAGATTAAGTAAAATTCAGATTATCACAACTGTCTTGTACATAACATTGTTATTTCCATTTTACATAGCTGCCAACTAGTACAATCATTGGAACAAGGTTTTAAAAAGGACAATAAAATGAAATTTGAGTAATTTCTTAATTACTTCACTAGTCCTTAAAAGCATAACTAACTATTGGTGCTTATTTGCATGCTAATCATTGTTGTCAAAAAGTTTTCTTAAAATCAATGATGCATAAAATTTTGTGCTAAAAAGTATTAAATGTTGCTAATACTAAGAGAAAGTTTTCTCAATGACTGTGCAAGTTGCCAATTATGAGTAAAAAATAAGTCATTAGTAATTGAGGGGAAAAACTAAGAGATAATAGTGGACAATAAATAGACGTTAGAATAGTTAATAGAAGTTTGACTAAATATTTTAATTATTTGTAGATTACTAAAACTCTACTTTATAAGCTTTAGAACTTTATAAGCATCATTTTCATAAGCATAAAAAATAGATCATAAGTATACAAATAATAGGGAGACAATAATGGATAAATTATTTGACTGAATATGTAAGTCACTTACAGATTATAGAGATTCTTTTGTATGTCATGCATTCATTGTTTTGTACATAAGCATAAGTGCCTGCTTATACAGTCATTGAATATGATTTTACAAAATGGTGGTAAAATAAAGTAGGAAGAATTTCTTAAATATTTAGTTACTTCATCAGCACTTAAAATCAAAACTGTCTAACTACTGCCCCTTGTATACATACATTTAAACTATTGATTTATCATGAGTAAACATTTTTATATTAAACTTTAAATGAATAATGCATTCATCTTTATTTATGCATTTAAATAAATGGTGTACATAGAGAAAGTCTCTTCATTGATTGTGTAAGTTGTCAATTATGTGTTAGAAATGAGTTATTATTGTTCAAATAGAAGGCAAATAACAGTGGATGACAGGTTGAATTGAATTAGCCTTGATTAATTGAGCATTTGAATTACTTATACTGATTACTGAGACTCTTCTGTATGTCACATATTCATTGTTATATGCCTAAGAAGTAAATAATAGGTATACAAGAAATTGGGAGACAATAGTGGATAATAAGTTCAAAATAACTTCAAAATTTGATTGAATATTTTTTAACCTACTCACAGATTATCATTACTCTATAGTACATATTCATGGCTTATATGCATAAGAAATGAATCATATACGTCAGAAAAGAAGACAATAACTAATAATTTGACTACAATTTTGATTGAATATTTTCTTAAGTTACAAACAGATTGTCAAGATTACATATTCATTGTTTATATTCTTTAGAAATAACTCATAAGTGTACAAAAAAAAGGAGACAAAAATGGATGATTTAATCTCTAATTCGATTGAATGTATTTGAATATTTTTTATTGCTTGTTCTAAGTTAACTCTTTTCTTAGAACATATCTTTAATAGCATTATTTACTGATGTTTAATCGTGTAAATTTTGCTAAATTGTAATTTAAGTTAAGTACAAGAAAGAATTATTTCTGGTGAAAATAGTTACTGATTTACTGTTAATTGAATTTAAAACACTTTTTTCATTGCACAATCAGGGAAAAAGCTGCATAAGACAGCAAATTATGTCAGAAGTTCATTGTAGTTTTTAAAAATCATATATGAGCTAGAATTCTTTAAAATTTGTATTGCACTTTTCTTTCCTTTTTATTAATTATGAAGAATTTTTGTGTTGTATATACTAATTAATGTTATTGATTTCTCTGATTGTTATTCATTTCTAAAGTGATTTGTTTAAAATTAAAATATGTTATAATTTTCTTTCTTTTTTACTCACCATAGATTGGCGTATGAAAAAAGAAACAAACTGAAAGAGGAGAAAGAAATTGCAATTTTAGATGCAATGAAAAGATTGTAGCAATGTCAAAAATATATTAGGCTTCAAAATTTCTTCCAATAAGTAATAGAAATTTTTAAGTGCCATTTCATTACAAAAAATTTTAACTCATGCTGTACAAGCTTTATGTGATAAGCATATTCACATACACAATAGTTTGTTAAGAGACTACATATGCTTATGTTGATAAGAGTTCTAATCTGCATGTACTAAATATTTGTTTTTACTGATATTTTCTTTCGGTTGACTTAAAATAATACTTGTGTAAATATTGCAATTTTAAATTTAACTTCTTTTAAGAATTCAAAGAAATAATTAGAAAAATGTGCATACTAGAGTTTAAAACTAAAGATTCAAATTATAACTTTTTAGGGATGTGATTTGAATAAACAAGTTTTAAACATTCATTCAAATTTTATAATTCAAACATATTACTGACTGACGTTATTATGAATAAGTTAAAGTTAAAAATTTTAATTATGTTAAAGTTGAAAATTTTAATCCATGGATTAAAATAGAATTTCTAAATTTTATTCTAATTATTCTTAATTTCGGATTAAAATGAATTATTAAAAATGTTAATAAGTAGATTATAATCTCTAATTGAAACTAATGTTACAATGGCTCAGAGGATTTTATTTAATCAACAAAATATGAAATTAACTGATTCAAATTTACAGATTGTAATCAATTAATCTTGGCATAAAGATAGATCAATGGTATTCTAACCACAGATTCAAATTAATTAAATATAATGAACTCGTTTGATTCAACACATTATAACCAATTGATTTGAATCAACAGATTATTACAAATTAATTTGAATCAATGACTAATTTCTTCAATTCCGATCATTGATTAAATGCCCTACTCTAGTGTGTACCCCATTTTTTTTTTTTTTTTGTTATTCTCAAAGGGAGTTTAACTTAAATTACAGTGAAACTTTACAATACCAAATACAAGTTAATAAGTATGATTATGAAGGTTCGCCTTNTTTTTTTTTTTTTTTTTTTTTTTTTTTTTTTTTTTTTATCTTGAATGTAATTTTTTTCAAAAATTTTACATTTACTTTATAATGTGTTCATTATTTTTTAAGCACTATACTAGTCTTTTAAAGTGAAATAAATAAATAAGGTCATAATGGAGTATGATTTTAAATTTTTCCTCCTTCAATTTTATTTTTAATCCATTTTTCTTAGTATCATTTTTCCTTCTCAATTTAATCTTTTTTTATAATTATATTTTATTCTTCCTCTCCTATCAAGTGCATATAATAAAACATCATTTATGAACGAATTTTTCTATTAATTTTTTTTTTAATTTATTGATGTTTATTTTATATCTTAATTTTTCCTTCAATGAACTCTATTTTTATTTACTATGAATTTGTACATATATATATGCATCTAACTGGTCAAATCGCAGAAGTATGTGAAAGAAATAATATATTTTTAGCTTTATATGAAAAATGGCAATATTCAATTTATTTTTATTATTTAGTATTTATTTTCTTTCTCTTTTCAATTTGTTAATTGTTACTTTCCTGTCTAATGAAATTAATAAGAATTTGTTACACTTTTCTTTGACATTACAACAATAAATTTTGTGAACCTTTAAATTATTATTTGTATTTAGATTGAATAATTTACACTATTTACTTCAATATATGCTATTAATGATAATATTTTATATACTCTAAATAATATTCAAAAATTTTAATTTGACAAACAATAAAACACATTTACCCATTTTAAAATAAAATTTAAACTTTAGCTTTTGTTTGTAAGATTATTGTTTTCTGTTCCACTTTTTTTATATGAAATGAATTATGTTTTAAAAAATAAATATTTTATGCTGCCATAATTTTTGTTCCTAAATGTAAATATAATCATGTTAAATTAGATTATGAATGTTTTTATATATTCTTTAACTTGTTAATAAATGTATATTTATTTGAACAACATAGTATCTCTTTAAGCGATACATCGTTATGAACATTATATGTCCCGTTACCTAAACTAGTGCAGAAGCTTCTTGACTGGAAAATTCGCTAACTGTAAACTAGACTGAAAGCATTGGTATTTAAAAACTTCTGGCTTTTTTTTTCTTCCTTTTATTAAAAAAAGGTCAATACTGAGTCAGTTAATATGAATATCTTCTTTATAAAAATTAAAAGCTCTGTTGTAGTTTTACTTACTTTATTTTAATTAGAAAAATTTATTTAAACTGTAAAGAAATAACTATTTTTTTTCTTTCTTAGAATTATGTTTATTTACACTTGTTACAGACAAAAAAAGTTTAACATACTTTTTATGTGAACCCATTACCTATTTTTGATGCAATATGGTATTTTGTGCTCACTGTTACTAATGTAATATTATGTTGTATTTTAGTCCCTCCATTTCCTCTTGTTTTTTTTATGTATCATTTTGTCCTTTATACCTGGCCTGCATGCTAGAAGATAGCAAAGATTGTCTGCATGCAAATAAAGTGAGATAGAGAAGCAAATAACTTAAAAACAAAGGGGATGATTAAATAATAATTTTGACCAAATAATGCTTTATCTTAAATTTGCTCCACACTTCTCTTAAATTTTTCATGTTTAATGTTCTAATCATTATGAGATTACTTGTAGTATATATTTTGTTTGTGTCCTGTTATTTTTTGATCAAATATTGAACTTCCATGGTGTTATATGTAAAAACATAATACCCTAGTCAAAGTGCATAAATACAATGTATAATCATCTGATTCAAAAGAAAAAACATTTTTGTTTAAAAAAAAATCTCAATTTACTTAACTATTTTGTACTTATGGTATATTTTAATTTTCTGTTTAGACAATTAGTGTTAGTAGCATTTTGTATACATTTTTATAAGATCAAAATGAATTTGGTAAAATTTGTAGCCACTAGTATTTATGTGATTTTAACTAGCTTTGAAGAAATTATATTGCTTATAAGCCTTAAGCGTTCAAAATGCTTTATATCATTTTTCACAAAATAAAATTTTGCCTCGTTTTCAAAACAGATGATAAATGTATATTACTGATCATCTATTTGAAAATTTTTAGAAATTTGTTTGTGCTTAATTATAAAATAAATAAAAAATTAATTGGCTGAAGGGTTTTTTTTTTTTTTTTTAAGTTCCTATAGGAAATAAAGTATAAATTACTCAAAACTGGTTATTTTGAGTATAAATATATTTACTGTGTTAAAATATGGCTTATTTTATTTTATTGTAAAAGAAATATATGTATATTGTATAATGTTACATTTTTTGTATAGAAATACCTTGTTCATTAGAATTTCCAACCCTTTGTTGTTTTTTTCTTCTTTATTTAAAACAGAATTGCAATAATAACACTGCTTTTTTACGACTAATTTTTTTATATTTGGAAATTATCTTCATTTAGCTTTAAAAATATTTTTTTACCAGTACTTTTAGGTGTTCATATTCCCATAATTTCTGCAAATGATTTTATGTACAAGTTTCTAGTCATTAACTTTACAAAGAGCTCATAAGGTTCCTAAAAAGTTAAGAAATGGTTTAAAAAGTAAAAGAAAATCAAATGCTTTAGCATGTTTTTCATCATAATATTTTAATAATTTGAAATAAATTAGGAGTGTGCAGTTTGTATCCTAGTTCCTTGAACAGGTCAATGTACAGCCAGCTGCCTTCCAACAGAAAATGTTAGTAAAACCACTTAAATAACTTAACAAAAGTTAATGACTGTTTTTTCAATTCAATATCAATTAACTTTGAAAAATTACTAAAATTATGACATAGAAAATGCACAATATAAAAGTGCTGATTAAAGAGGCTGAAATTTTTCTCTAAATAAAAAATTCTTTGTCAAAATCATGTTTTAAATAAAAAATAGTTCAAGATCTTAAGAATAATTATAAAAATGATTTAAAACCACTTAAAAAAATGTATGCATGTAAAAAGAAATCTTTTGCTTTGAAACTCTTTGTTACTTTTTTTGTTTTTTAAAATTATGCATTTTAGTTTTATGTCATTTTTTCTAGTCATTAGCTCCAGCTATTACTTTAACAGTAAAATTGTTTTTTTATCAAATACATGTGAGAAGTTGCCATACATCTTTTACTGTAGTAAATGCTGTTTTATACCTAACCATGATCAGAGAAACTATTTTATTATTTACATTCCAACATATGATCTTGGAGTATGTTTTGTTTTATGACCCTTTATTTTAATTGTTAATTAATTTCATCAATAATTAAGTTTTTCTAAAAATTGTTCCTCTAAATATTATACTATTCTAAGTTTTGTGCTATAGTAAAATCACTGTGGAATTAATTGACTGTTCTAACTCTGAGGCAATGTAAACTACTTTTTTATAATTTCTATTAATTTTAGTTCTGTGATGAAACTATAGGAAGCATTTTGTAATTATAGAAATGAGCAATTTAATTCAAATAAAGCTTTTTTTTTCTTAATAAAATTAATAAAGACAATAATTTTGCCAACTCGTTTGCAGAAATATCTTTGTTTTACAGCAAAAATTTAGCTTTAAAAAAATCTAATGAAATTAATCAGTTTATATTCAATTGTAATCTTTTATATATATATATATTCTACAAAGTTCACAGACTAATCAACTTCCGCTTTTCAAAATGATACACATATTAAACTTTTATTAAAAATTTGAAGAACGTATGAAAATTGAAAAATTCTGTTTCATTTTCAAAAGTAAATTAAGTTTTTAGTTAAAATTAATAAGATAATATTAAATTTAAGTAACTTTCTAATTAACTGAAAATTAAACTTTCTTTTATATTTATTTTTTTAAACTTGGTCCCATGTCTAAAAAAGTTGAGGCATTTTGACTTTGAGTATTCTCTTTATATACCAGTATATGAGAGTGCCTTCTAAAATCAACTTACATGACTTTATTGCAATTGTTTTACTAATCATATAAATAGATAGTGCTCAGTGAGAATGTGTGCTTTATCTATGCAACAATAGTTTTTTCATTTAAAAATTATGGGAGAACACCATTCTGATATTATCTGAAAATCTAAATTTTTTTATTTTATGACATTATATATTCTGCACTATTTTAATATTTTGTAAGTATTTTTTTATGAGGTCAGTCCCCAGCTTCATTGCACACATAAGAAAGAACATGACACTTTTGCTTACAGTTTCTGAAATTTAATACAAAAGTCAAATTTAAAAAAAAAATTATAATATACTGAAAGAAAGTAGCTGTTATGTTATGCATGATATAGCCACATCTGGCTCTCGTACCAATAACTCCAAAATAAACTAATATGTATGGGTGGTTTTTGAAAAATTAACATAAAGGATGGATGTTTTAGAAAAAAGGTGTTTATATAAATAATTTGTGTAGGTTGTAAAAAAATCCTTTAAAATTGGGACATCGTAAAAAAAAAATTTTAAAATCCTATGTTTTGTTCTACAAAATTCAATTGTTCATTATCTCATTTAAACAACAAAACCTAATGGAAATTATATGAATAGTAGTTTTTGTGACCTCAAATTGAAAGCAAAAGGAGGAAACCTGAGTAAACCTTGCAAGGACAAATCATGCAGACCAGGACTTGAAAAAAGCTGTCGGCCAGCATTAAATTTGCAGTTCAGCATCTGTCTACCGCCACCTTGAAATATTCTATAGAGAATAGTTGGCCACAAAAGAATTAGCACTTTTGAATTCTAAAATTGCTGCATGGTCAATAACGGGATGATAGAAATTGCTCGTCCTTTTTCAGAGATTTGTTTCACACACCATCAGCGATCTA